CGTGGGCCAGGCGAGGGCTCCCCTTTCCGAGTCCAGACGTGAACGCAGGTCCAGGGACACCCGGTCCTGTCTCCTTCGAACGCGTGACGTGAAGGGCACAGGCTGTTTCTGGAAGGAATTGTGATGCTCTGCGTATAGAAAGTGTCGGGGGACGTGCAGGAGGTTTAGGAGCCCCCACACTTGGGACACCTGCGGAAGGCCAACTTCCGTTTGAAAGGCGATCGTTACCTATTGCTGAGTATACGTGCATATAACAAAGGTAACGCCTCCCTTGGTGAATTGGGGTATGCACAAGTGAGCAGGCAGAAGTTCGCAAAAGAATTGGTTGTGCAGTCTTCCTCCCGTGGCCAGGAGCCAGCTCAGATTAATAGGCAAAGGGGAGTTCTGAGAGTTAAAAAAAAGCTAAAATTTTGAACTTTTTTTACTGTAGAAAATCTCAAAGAAAAATACAATGAAGTTACCGAATTTCAGAAAATACCAACATTTTTAAGATCTTGTGTCATCTGTCCCCACCACCACTACCCAAACATTTTTTTCTTTGCTGGGTCATGTCAATCAATCACCCTTTCAGTATTCATCTTAAACTGATAAGGACTTAAAAAAAAACAACCCCAAACATGATATTCAGATTAATTTTTTGTTTTGTTTTGTTTTAAATATATTTTATTGATTTTAGAGAGGAAAGGAGCAGGGGAGAGATAAACATCAATGATGAGAGAGAATCATTGATTGGCTGCCTCCTGCACGCCCCCCACTGGGGATCCAGCCCCCAACCCAGGCATGTGCCCTTGGCCAGAATCAACCCGGGATCTTTCAGTCCACAGGCCAACACTATCCATTGAGCCAAACCAGCTGGGGCCAGATTAATTGTTTTGAAGTATTCAAGATTATTGTACTTAAGTAATGGCCTGCTTTTAGGGAAAGGAAAACTGGGTATCCACCCCCCACCCCCCGGAAAAAAAAACACAAAACTTTTCCCACCAAAAAAAAAAAGCAAATAACAGGAAAAAAATCTGATTGCTTGGCTCGGTGGACTTCCTCATCTGCAAAATTTAGAAATCCTAGAAAAAATTTTTTTTTCTTAAGTCTCCCTTTCAAGAAGGAAAATGGGTATCCCTAACAGATTATCACTATAAATCACGATTTAGGGATTCTGCCCATACTTACCCTTGCTTTCATTTTCTTTTTAAAAAATAAATCTTTGTGACTTCAGAGAGGAAGGGAGAGGGAGAGAAAGAAACATCAATGATGACAGAGATTGGCTGCCTCCTGCATGATGGGGGATCCAGACCAGGAACCAGGCATATGCTCTGACCAGGAGGAATAGAAGCATGACTTCCTGGTTCATAGGTTGACACTCAACCACTGAGCCACACCAGCAGGGCAAGTGGGAAGATTTGAGAGAGGATTTTTTTTGTTGTTGTTGTTTTTAATTTACTTTTAAAGAGAAAGGAAGAGATTGAACCTGCGACCCGGGTATGTGCCCTGACAGGAATCGAACCCACCACCTTTTGCTGTCTGGGAAAACACTAAACCAACTGAGCCACACCAGCAATGGGGAGAGATTTTTTTTTTTTTTAATGAGCTAGAATCAACAAGATTTGAAGCCAGGTTAGAGAGGGGGGTGGTGTTTTCTGTTATTGTTACTTGGAGTTGGGAAGAGAGGATGGGGGTGACTTTTCATCCCTGGGAAAGTTTATATATATGCAGAGTAGCATTGATAGGTGTCAGCCTACTCCTCTGACAAGAATTTCTGAGGTTGAGCTAGTCAAAACTGGTGAAAAGAAACACCAATTTGAGGGAGGGTAAGGAGAAAAACAATCATCTCCCTTCACTAGGAAAGAATGTTCAAATGAAGCCCTCTTAGATCTAAAGAGCACATGATTGTGACCTGGGAGAGGAGCTGGATGGGGATGTTTGTTCTGATATCTAATAAATAAATTAAGGAACTCACTTTATTGTCTGTGCCCCCAATTCTTAGAGGTGAACATACTCTTCTTCTGATATGCAATGAGGCTAAGTTCATCTCAAAGGGTCCCATTCCACAGCCTTCTTTGCATTTGAAAGAAACCAAAAAAAATCATGAACATGGATGTCAATACGCCTAGGGTGGCAAAAGGAAAAGGAATTGAAGTCAAGTACCATAAAGAAATGCTGCCCATTTGTGTAACCTGTGATTAAGGTGCTATTCATCATCCAAGATTAAAGGAAGAAGTTTATTGTGTTGAGTAGAGAGATACAAGAGAATACCAGTTACTTCCAAGGGAACACAAAGAGGCACGTTTTATCACCACTATCACTACTTCATTCTTTTATCTGACAGCAAAAACTGATCCACTAGAGCCACACATTTGCAATGTTTCTTAGGTTCGCTTTATCAGTTGGCCTATATTCACTATTAACTAGTCCATGCTAGCCAATTGTTATGTCTCTCCCATAGGTTGCATTTGGAAAATCCTTCCATGAAGGAAAAAAATATATACCTGTTTACAATCAATGTGTGACAGACCAACAAACCTAAATACTGCATCATCCTCACTTGTTAAAATTAAAATAGGTCTCTGGGAAAGAGAGTAGCTGATTCGTTATTTAAATGAAATAGAACTCTAAATACATAGACTGAAACCTTGCAGATTACAATCAGAAGTTACACCTAAGTATTAAAACTGAAAGTTGTCTTTTAAATTAATGTATAATTGAGAATTTTATATTAGTTTCAGGTGACTCAACATTTATATACAATACCTACCATGATAAAATCTAGTAACTGTCCCCATACAAAGTTAAAAAGTGGACAGCTTTGCCCTAGCCCGTTTGGTTCAGTGGACTGAAAGGTCCCGGGTTCCATTCAGGTTAAGGGCACATGCCCTAGTTGTGGGCTGGATCCCCACTGGGGAGGTGTGCAGGAGGGAGCCAATCAATGATTCTCTCTCATCATTGATGTTTCTATACCTCTCTCCTCTCCTCTCTGATATATATATATGCATGTATATGTGCATATATATAAAAGACTGCAGTTTAAAACAAAAAAAAAGTGGACAGCTTTCATTTTCACTGTCAAGAAATAGTAATTAAAAAAAAATAAAAGGATTATTTTAAATTAATGCCTATTTTTCCCCCATGGCAAAAAAAAAAAAAAAAATGGAGCAAGACGGGAAATGTGAACTATATTCCTGAAGGAATTCTCAGAATACAATGTCAACACAATTATTATAAGGAACTGATTTACTCCAGATAGATGAGGCAGTCACAAAATTGAACTCTGTGGGTGTTGACTCAGGATTACTGTGTAAAGCTCACATTGAGACTATATAGAAAGTGGAATGGTGGACTATGGCATCCTCAGGCATATTTACAAAATAAGGTGGTAGTGCTTTTTACTCGTCGAATGCGGAGCTCTCCTCCCATCAACTAGCTTTTCCTCTGAGGGCCAAAGCTAGGGTGCAGCCAGAGACCAAGGCACTGAGCATCGCCTTACACACACAGGTTCGAAAGACCAAGGAGTCTTTGTTAGTACGCATCATTATTAACAATCATCTCTTTAAAATACATGAATATAGTTTTATTAAAAAGCCATGAAGGATTGCATACACATATGCACATACATGTGCACAAACGCATAGAGTAAAGTTTGCCTCTACCCACTGTCCTCTAACCATCCATTTCTCAGAGATTGATAGTTACCAGTTTCTTGTGTATCCTTTAAGACATAGTCTGTGTTTCACCATTTTTAAATTTGGTAATTCCCCTGTCCTTGGAATTTTGACAAGTTTTCCACCTGCTATCAAAGGATGTTCTGAAGCCAGCACATTTACAAATTGAGAGCAAAAGGAAAAGGAAGCATAATAGACAAATGGGATCCTGTGTCACTAGAAACAAAGGATACTGGAAGGAAAAGGTAAGTTTGCTATATTTGGAAGAATA